GAAATATTGGATTAATGAAAGTTGACAAATAAATAAAGGCTGGCTTTCAAATCAAATTCCTTTCAAAGATGAACGCAGCTCTTGGCTGAAAAAAATCACCTCCATTTGTGAACCTCTATTAGTATTTTTTAAATTTTAGCTGCAATTGGATCGTCTCTGTGAAGCTACAGGATTTCTTCTTCGCTTGTTTCATGGTGGGTTGACGGCAATGAAGAAAATAACAACTTGGCACAAGGGAATGTAGCTGCCCAATAATTTGGCAGGAAAAATTATAGATTTGACTTTTGGAGCTCCAGAGCAGTACGTAACCTTGCCTACAGCATATTAGCAAAACAGAGAAACTCGAAAAACACTTCATTTTCTCTGGGCTTGACAACTAGCTTTTATTTTCCTTGGCTTTTGTTTATAATGTAATTCTCATGGGGGGGTGTTCACTGTTACGATCAGTAGAGTCCAACTCCAACCAAATATTTGTTGCAGTGGGAAATTTAAAAAACAACTTTCTCCCCCTAATTCTCCTTTAGAGAAGTACGGGAATAGAGCTTTGGATGCCCCTCAGCTAAAGTTTTAGTTTCAAAAAACCCTTGTTGAATCTTGGCTAGCAAGAGCAACCTCTCCCTTCACCTGTAACCTATCAAGCTGAACACGGGCAGGGGGGGGGAGAAAAAGAAGAAAAGTGAATGGTAGGAGCTAATAGGCATCCAGCATGAGCTATTTTCACTTCAGTTTGTACCCAGCAGACTCCCAGTCAGTCTTCATATCCACACTAGAGCAAGCATACAAAATGCTTCGTTCAGCTAGCAAGAATTTAGCTAGATGTTTATTTATTGAACATCCGCAAGGAATAAAGTCCTTAACTGGCAAAACAGGATAAAAAGAGACCAAAAATGTGAGGAGACAAAGACAGACCTGAACAACAGTCTTGAGATTTACATTATCTATAGACTACTTAAGTCTATTTCAAACACACATAAATTGCTAGAAACATAGGAAACAATACCGTGGCTACTTAGCATACCTCCCAAAGATGTGGACTTTGGTTATTTCTTAAAGCTTTTGCAGTATGTATGTAATAGCAACAGAACCAAGATGGGAAGTAGGACCTGGTGAATCCTCTTTTCTTCTGCTCCACGGAGGAAACAAATTGGTGAATGAGGATGATGGATTCCCCCATCTGGTAGAAGACACCACTGTGCAAATGCATCACAATATCTAATTTGTGGAATAATGTCTTGTAATTTGCCACCAGCCCCCCATAGATGGTCATCAATAGGCATAAGTGGGTAACAGAAAGAGTAATGAAAGGGGAGGGATTCTACATTGTCTTTGCTAATATTATCTGTGGTTTGAAAGTTGGATCTTAAAAAAAGCAAGACAGGAAGAAAAGCATTTAGCTGTGATGCTGGAAAAGACTCCTGAAAATTCCTTGGACAGTAAAGGTGACTAACAAGTACTGGAGCACATGAGACGTGTCAAAAAAACTGCAACTCACTTATTTTGGCCATGTCATGGGAGGCAGGGGATTTCCTGGAAAGAGCAATTATGTTTGGAAGAGTTAGCGATAAAAAGAAACCAGGCAATGAAAGAACACAGTGGACACCATCAAAGTTGACACCAGCCAGGGCATACAAAAACTCAGAAGATGTGGAGAAGCCTTGCCCATAGAATCACCAAGAGTCAACTGTAGTGGATAAGATTACCATCTGTGGTTTTAAGCTTCTGGTAGCAGCCTGGACTGGAAGTAGTTGATCTTAAGAGTAGGTTTCTCTGCTTTCAGTCCAGTAAATTATATTTGGAAGGAGATTAAAATAGCAACACAAAGATTCTGCAGAGTAGCCTACTGATAAATGAGGGATGTGTATATAGGGAAATTAAGATGGGAAGATTCTATTTCTCTTCTTGGCCACTTTATCTATGTAAGGAGGCAGCAGGTTATCTCTTGCAAAGGAGGAGCAGTTGACAGTATTGAAAATGGTGACTCAGCTCCTTATCAGTTTGAGAACCAATTCTCATATCCTAAGTAATTCCTGCTGAGGACACATAGCCTTGAAGCAAGAATTTCCTCTGCCCCTCCTATATAGAATATATGCCATCTGTACAGAGCATTGCCAACAGCAAGAAACCTCAGCTGGTTCAAAATGTTGCTGTTTGAATGGATAGATCTGAGGACCTAACACATCTGTTATGAAATATCTGCCATTTGTTTGCCCTCAGGCCTCATTCAAAAAGCTGATCCCTCCCCCCTCCGATCTTTAATACACCATCTCAGTCTAATGTGGTACCCATATCTCTGTGGATATCTCTATTGATGCCCAGCAGGAACCCTCCCTCCATTGATTTTATTACTATTTTGAGATTCTTTTAATTAAAAAAGAAAATGGAGCAATTATTAGCTGCAAGGAAAATGCCAGCCTCTAGCATCATCTTTACTGAAAAGAATATCCATGGAGTTACTTTAGAAATGGCATGGGCAGCATTTTTTATAAAGGGCGCCCTTCACTAGTTGCTTGGGCTTGTTTGATATTTGGATTTTATGATAGACATTTTAGGTCCAGAAACTGGATCAATAACATGTTTAAAAAATAGAATGCAATGTTAGTTAGGATGCCCTGCAATTCAGAATAAAACTATTTCCATCAAGAGAGATTTTTTGTTGATTGGAAAGCCTCACACATTAATTCACAGAATACCAACATTCAACAATACCTAAAATTACTACATACAGAATTCTACATGTTTACATCACATTGAGGGAGTAAGAACAGGGCATGTTGTCCATTTTTGACCTCTAAAAATGGTTGCTAGCCTGTTCTGGCAATAGGATAACCTGGCAATAGAGATAAATTTTAAGGTGAGATTTCGGATTACCTCCTTGATGTAATTCACAGTGGAAAGTTGCAAGTCACTTTATTTAAAGGATTTTTTCAGCATAACAGTAAGCCATGGTTACAGTTGTGACTGTCAGCTGTCCTCTGCCAGCTGCCGACAAACTCCAGACACAGAAGGAACAGGTGACCAGCAAACTTTTATGCAAAGAAAAAGTCAGCACTGGGAGTGAACTGCTCCCAGCGCTTTACATAGACGTGCCCCACCCACCAACCCCACCCTAATCAGCAAGCCAGCATCCAGTCCATATGGATAAAAAGCTTAGTTCGATGTCCATTTCCCCCCCCTCCAGACGCACCCACATAGCCTCCGCTGTTCCAGCTGTTCTCTCAGGCAACCATGCAGCACTCTGCCTCCTCCCTCCCTGTGCCTGGCGGGAGAGAGAGTCAGCCAAGGTGAGGCATAATCCCCCCCTTGTCTGGCTGGCTTAGCTCAAATGCCCAGCCAGCGGTGGGGACGTCTCTGGCGTCCGTTTCCTCAGAGGGAGGCACCCGTGTCGTCCGGTGGCCATGCCAACTCCCAGCTGCTGACCAGGAGCCGGGCCAACTCCCAGCTGATTCCCAGGAGCCGGGCCGACACGCAGAGGCTGGGCCGACTCCCAGCTGATCTTCGGGAGTCAGGCGGTGCATGGCGTTTCCACCAACTCCCAGCTGATGTGCACCTGCTGGGCTGACTCCCAGCTGGCTGTCGGGAGCCGGGCGATGTGTAGCGGTCCCGCCGGTTCCCCACTGGCATCCGGATGCCGACCTGACTCCCAGCTAGCTGTTTGGAGTCGGGCGGTGCTCATGGCCCCAATGCGGACATCGGCCGGCTGCTGGCTGCATCCTCCCCATCTCCCAACTCATGGCAAGCCAAGGGGCTTGTAAGGATTCTTAAACATGTTCCTGAATTTTTTTTTTTTTTTGACTGCATCAAGAAGTTTGACTTTTATGTACTACAGGATGAGATCTGAGAACAACCATCTATGACGATGAATATTTTATTTTTCCATGAATGGTCATAAAGAGTTTTTGAAGAAATTGACTTCTCTGAATGAAATTAAATTGGACAAACCCGATCTATCTATCTATCTATTTATCTATCTATCTATCTATCTATCATCTATCCATCATCATCATCTATTACAATTTTATTAAAAAATATAATTGTAACAGTAAAAACTAATACAAACTTTAACAAAGAACAAAAAAAGTAGAAAGTGCAGAAAAGAAAGAAAAGTAAAGACAAAGAAAAGTATATAAAGAAGAGACTTCTCACCTTCATCACAACTATAAACAATTTTATAACTTATCACCTTCTCTTAAAATACAACAAATGATTTTTGCCCCTATCTCTCCCATTTCTTATCTCTAAACAAATCCATATAGCACTATCATTTCAGCCATGTCAGCAAAAGTCCCTTAAGGAGTTTTGCCAGCGATAACAGCATATCAATGTTAACCTTGACCAAATAAACCATCTTTATATTCCTTCATTTTACTTCTAACAACCTTAGCAACCCTTCCAATATGTTATAGAACTTGATTTATTTTCATTTTTTCATTGCCCCTTCTTGAAACCTTTAACAAGCCTCTTTTATAAATCCCGTACAGGAACATTATCCAGGTCACTCTCTTGCTTTGTTGTTCATATGTCCATTTAATTATTAAGGCATCAGCTAATTTTTGGTTTTGTATGTCCAGTGTAACATCCATTTTTCAATGTCACTCTTATCGGCTGTCACTTTTAAATTCTACAATTTCAACTCAGTCTTGATCCTGCCAAGTAGAACTTCTTTGTCTTCCATAGCTTCTTTTAGACATAGTCTATCTATGGGGGCAGACTCTATTAAAATTAATTCCTGGGTCCATTATTCAAAAATGCCCTTCCATATGTTCAATGTTAAAATATTTTGCTTCCTTATCTTACCATTTTTTAAAAAAACAAAAAAACAAAATCATTTTTATGGGAAAGATTTTTGTTATAATCAATTTCACATTCTGATTTCAAACTTATCTGGGTGTTTGCAATTTTCTAAAATCAAAATTTTAATTATTCTTTTCCTGTTTATTAAAAAAATACATTCATAAACATGTAGTTAAAAAAAATTTCTCTAAGGGTTGAAGGAAACTCACCTGGTGCTGTAAAATTGGTTGATCCAAAGGTTTGTAATAGTTGAAAAAGAGTTAACAAGCGATTTCCAAATGTGATTAGAAAAGGAAGAGTGCACACTTAGTGCCTGTTCAAAGACACTTATCTCAGTTTGAGCAAAATGGTTATTCCCTCATCTCCTGAGGGAGATCAGGCCTGAAACTAACTTGTAATCTCATCATGAAGAGCAGCTGTTTGGAGCATTTATGGGTGATCTCAGGTCCTCAAATTCTCAAGTCCTCAAATTCCTCTGAAGGAGAGTAATTACAAGAAGCCATTTATTCTCTGGGAATCTGTTTTGCTGTTTCAAAAATAAAAAAAATGGTCACTATTGAGCTAATAAGAGCAGCAAAAGCCAATTTCAGGGTGCATGAAGTAAGGGTATGCATTTTTATTCAGTTCAGGAAAAAAAAACTTTGAAAGTAAAATACGTGTTTAATTATGTTTCAGAGTTAAGATCTAATAAAGTATCATTCTGAATACTGATCCCTGAAAATCCTTTACTTTCTATTAGGATTTGTAAAATTTTCTGCCTGGATAATTATTACAGCATGTATCATTTGGGGGAAACAAGGCATCTTATACAGGTAACCAGACATAAATTCATGCCAAGACTTTGTGTTCTGTGTCTGTTGGATATACGTCTTTCTGGCAAAATATTACCCCGAAAGACCAAGGCAAACTCTGGTGGATCCTGTCTTGTAAACCCATCACAAACCCATGCAAGATTGTTCCAAATCTATACCAAACTGGTATGGGATATCATGATTTTTTTTTTTTAAACATCACAGCCTTTGATTTTAGAAGTACCAGTGAAAATAACAAGTAACTTGTACTTATAACTTAAGTTGAAATGTTTCTTTAAAGAATTGTAAGCCACCCAGAGTCCCGTGATATTGGCAGCATATACAGTTAATATAATCAAGGATATAGTTCAGCTAAATCAATTAAAATAGCTGATTTAGTTGCTCCTTGTGCATTTAATTTTCCCCTTCTATTGCCTTTTTAGGTTAATTTGGGGGAGAGGCTTTTGGATCATACTCAAGACCACAGAGATTATTTGTAGTTCAAGTACTGCAACTTTGCCTTCAATCTAAACTGACATTTTTAACCATGCTTTGAATGAGTCACCTGCACTGAATGATTTTCAGTCAAATACAGTTCTTCGCTAAAATCAGTATATCCAGATCAGAAAAAAAAAATAACTTTTGTTCTTTAAATAGAAATAGGAAATTAAAATCCTAAATTGTGGTCTTTAGGAAAGCTTAATCTTGACTTACAAATGCCACCAACCATTTTTCAGAGGGGTTCTTGTCCACACATAAACATGGAATTTCACAGGCAATGCAGTCAGTAGCAAAGGCTATCAAATATAATTTACATCTGATGTTCATTATTCAGTATATGCCATAAATTAGCACTGGCAGCAGGAGTCCACACAGTCAAGCAGCTTTCAAGAATCAGAGCTACCTCACCGCTAATTCAGATCGGGTAGGAATGGAGTCCCATATCCTACTTTGGCCTCTTGATCCAGCTTGCCTTTATGGAATACTCCAGGGGAACGGTGAAGAAATTAAAATGGGCAGGACTATTTGTAATTTTTTTTTAATGACGGTTTTCTAGATGCTGCTAGTTTTCATTGCTACTTGCCGAGATCACTGAGGAAGAGTCTTACGTCAGATTTCAGGAAGTAACATTTTGCTGGGTGGATGATAAAACTAGCAGGGCCCCCGATCAGCAGATTCAACTAACAGATGGTGATCTTGCCATGTGTCAAAATAAATAAATAAATGCCTTCGTTCCTGTTATTGCAAGAGAGTTTCCTTACACCAGTGTTTCTCAACCTTGACAATTTTAAGGCATGTGGACTTCAACTCCCAGAATTCCACAGCCAGCAATGCTGGCTGTGGAATTCTGGGAGTTGAAGTCCACGTGCCTTAAAATTGTCAAGGTTGAGAAACACTGCCTTACACCAAAGCTTTTAGTTTTGGAAAATATTTCTCAGATGCTCAGGACAACACTCTTGTTTTGGGGATTAATTTGGTTAATTGCACCGCTGCTGTTGCTCAGCATTATTTACAATAATCTAAAGGTGGCTAGACTACTTTCAAAGTCAGCAAGCTCTCTCTCTCTCTACCTTGTCAATGAAGGGTTTTTGTTTTTTTCTTGGAAGCAACGGAAGTTTTTACTGAATTGCTTTCCTTCACAAGTACATGCACGTAGGTGTATGCACGTCTGTGCTTTAGTTTTAAAAGATGACTTATAGCTTCTCTAATAGAAAATGTCAGTGACAAGTACACTTGTTCACTATTTCAGGTAATGCCATTAGCTGAAGTGGTGACAACAACAGGTATATAATATCCTAAGGCAAATAGATCTGGTAATGGCATTTAAGAATGACTCCTCAAGCAATCCCAATGATCACTGGTTTTGACAAACAGTAATAACAGTAGTTTAGTCCAACTATGAATTGAATGTCTCACACTGTGATTGCCAAGATTACTGGCTGTGGAAGACCTGCGGAAGTATGGTTGAATTGTCATTTGTTCTAGAGGGTGGTACACTTTCCTTGAATCATTTCCCTGATTGAACCATTCCTTATCTATGGTGATTCATGCAAAGTACTGTGTTCTGGTAAAAGCAGATCACGGAATCACAAGTTCCACTAAAACATTTTACAATACAATATGTTTATGGGCAATGGAGTTCATAAAAACAGGTGCAAGTCTTTTGTTAAACATTTATACTAGATTAACTCATCCAAGCCCTACTATTAAAAAAATGGAATACCTACCTTCTAAGCCTTCCAAACATTTAATGTGTTTAGCTACTACACGGGTGTGAAACTCGCCATGTCATGTGATGCATCATGACATATTGCAATGTTTTTTTGCCTTTGCGGAGCCTGGGTGAGCATGGCCTCCATGTGATACATCCGGCCCTCGGGCTGGTAGTTTGACACCCCTGAGCTACTAAGTCAAGTCTTCTTCAAGTTGATCTTGATTCCTAATGATTTTGTGGATTCATTTTCTAGTGTGGCTGTTGAGTCCTTGGCGAAAAGCAGACGCGAGAAGCAGTTGTAGTTCTCAAGTTTCTTTTATTCTGTGTTCAGCTTACAGGTGAAGGCTTCAGCAACGCCCAAAAGCTCCCAGCCTCTTATATAGGCAGTTCCCGGGTCAATGTGTTACTTTTCCCGCGCCAGCACCCGCACATGCGCACAGGCACTGGCGACAGCCTGTCTGGTCCCGGGCAGCCCGCACCCGCCCGGGACTGCCTGCAAACGCCCCGAGCCCGTCCGCAAGGCTCGGGACATAACACCCCTTTCCCCCGGGCTAAGACTACTACCAACATACAATTATTTCTTGATGCAGTGTTCTACTCCCCAGTGCTCCTACTATTTACTGGCTTTTGTTTGGCCAGCAATGTTATGTAATCCTCTAAGTATTTAGGAGATTTCCTTGCTCTCTGTGACCTTCTCAGCTCTGGGTTTCTGACAGGTGTTCCCTGACTGAGGGGTGACAATAGCCTGTTCCCCTTATCATGCCTTGGTGCCTTCCAAGGACTTTGCCCCAATGCCTGGCCTGCTTGCTCGCCCACCGGGCTCGTCAGGCCAGGGCTTCTGTCAATTTGTGACCTGGTTGACCTGCCTAGCTGAAGGCCCTCGGGCCCCTTAAAGTGATAGCCACTGCTGGGCGTCTCTGTAGAACCTCCTAGGTCCATCCAAGACCTGTCAGGAGGCTGTCCATTCCCTAAACCCCGTTCTGTGTCCGGGCTCGTGTGGGTTTCTGTACCTTCCCAAAACTCAGTTTCTCCCTGATTTGGGCTAGAGGTGTTGCGGTCGGGACTTGGTTCCTCAACCACCTCCCTGTATGTTTGACCCCCTGTAGGACTTGGGGTAAGGTCAGGCCAACTCTGGGGATTATGTGCCAGCTCTCTTGCGGGGTATGATTTATTGGGATGCTCCAGGGTATCCTCCCTGACTGGAGTACTGTGCTGTGCAGGTGAATAGTGATTGTACCCCCGGGGTGACTCCCTGGCTGGAGTAGGCGTGAATGCCTGGTAGTTGGATAGGCTCTTAGAATTCCTGTTTGGGGCACTCGCGGAATCCTGGAATGGGCCGTTTGTGGCTCCATCGTTGGAGGTGGGCAGCAGCTCGTGCCCCTCCCTTTGCTCTAAAGGGTCCCCCTCCCCCCTGGAAAAGACCCAGGAGTCTCATCTGAAAGATCCCGCCTAGGGCGGAGTTGGTCGATGTGCCGACGCAGGACATGACCGTTGTCCAGGGCTACCTCGTAGGATAGAGGACCTGTGACCCTGGAAATAGAAGCGGGGACCCATGTATGACCAGGCCCGTAATTGCGAGTCCAAACCGGGGCACCCACCAGTAGTTGTCTAGGTGCCCTAGGATGTGAGGCAGATGAAGGCAGTCTGTCCAGATGCAACCGGTCAAGCTTCGTAGTAAGTTTGCGCCCCCAACGAAGTTCAGCTGGGCTTCTCCCTGTAGAAGTGGACGGTGTGGTGCGGTAAGAAAGGAGAAAGTCAGCCAACCTGTGATACCAGTCCCCATAGGTGAGTCTTTTCAAGGCGTCCTTTGTGATGCGGACCATGCGTTCAGCCATACCGTTGGTGGACTGGTGGAAGGGTGCAGACGTGGCATGACGAATCATGTTAGCCTGTAAGAAAGCTTGGAATTCGGAGGAAGTAAATTGAGGGCCGTTGTCAGACACGATGACATCTGGGAGCCCGTGTGCAGCAAAAATCCCCCTCAGTACTTGAATAGTCTTTGCAGTGGTGGTGGATGAGACAGGTACAACCTCAAGCCATTTTGAATGACTGTCAACGAGGACCAAGAAGAACTGGCCCTGAAAGGGCCCAGCATAATCAATGTGCACCCTAGACCATGGGGACTGTGTTTCCTCCCATCTATGCACAGGAGCTTGGGGCATCTCTGGGCGAGAGCGCTGGCACAGGTGGCATGCATGCACCTTAGCCTCAATGTCCTTATCTAAACCAGGCCACCACAAGTGGCTGCACGCAAGGGCCTTCATGTGAACAATGCCAGGATGACCCTCGTGGAGGGACTCTAAGATCCTAGTCCTCATTGAGGTGGGAATGACAACTCTGTTTCCCCAAAGCAGACAACCCTGAGAAGTGGACAACTCATTCCTTTTGGACCAGAAACTCTGAAACTCAGGACTAGGGCAGTGCTCAGGCCCTCCAGACAAAACCCAAGAAAGGACACGTGAAAGTGTGTGATCTG